GTTGTAATGGGTGATGAAAGTTGAGGGTTTTTAATTTTGATTGATAAGGGTCAAGTGAATCAATAACAATTGTCATTTTAAATTTGGTTGAGTTAAGTAATTTGGTTGGTTATATTTTAGAAGATGACTGAGTGATTTAAGTAAATCATTAGTATGTATTAGTATAATTATTTTCAAAATGAAGGATATTGATTGTACAATTTAGAAATGTCTTATATAGACATTATGGGTTAAAACAGTGACACATTATGGTAATGTCATAGGATACACTTATATGATTTATTTTGAGTAGACATTGTTGAATCATACTGTTTGACACATGGAAGTTAATGTGAGGATTGTGAATGAAATCATGAATATGTTGATTAATTCAGTTAACATATTAACATATTAGTCACTATATACAGTGGGGAAAACAAGTATTTAGTCAGCCACCAATTGTGCAAGTTCTCCCACTTAAAAAGATGAGAGAGGCCTGTAATTTTCATCATAGGTACACGTCAAGTATGACAGACAAAATGAGAAAAAAAATCCAGAAAATCACATTGTAGGATTTTTAATGAATTTATTTGCAAATTATGGTGGAAAATAAGTATTTGGTCAATAACAAAAGTTTCTCAATACTTTGTTATATACCCTTTGTTGGCAATGACACAGGTCAAAGGTTTTCTGTAAGTCTTCACAAGGTTTTCACACACTGTTGCTGGTATTTTGGCCCATTCCTCCATGCAGATCTCCTCTAGAGCAGTGATGTTTTGGGGCTGTCGCTGGGCAACACGGACTTTCAACTCCCTCCAAAGATTTTCTATGGGGTTGAGATCTGGAGACTGGCTAGGCCACTCCAGGACCTTGAAATGCTTCTTACGAAGCCACTCCTTCGTTGCCTGGGCGGTGTGTTTGGGATCATTGTCATGCTGAAAGACCCAGCCACATTTCATCTTCAATGCCCTTGCTGATGGAAGGAGGTTTTCACTCAAAATCTCACGATACATGGCCCCATTCATTCTTTCCTTTACACGGATCAGTCGTCCTGGTCCCTTTGCAGAAAAACAGCCCCAAAGCATGATGTTTCCACCCCCATGCTTCACAGTAGGTATGGTGTTCTTTGGATGCAACTCAGCATTCTTTGTCCTCCAAACACGACGAGTTGAGTTTTTACCAAAAAGTTATATTTTGGTTTCATCTGACCATATGACATTCTCCCAATCCTCTTCTGGATCATCCAAATGCACTCTAGCAAACTTCAGACGGGCCTGGACATGTACTGGCTTAAGCAGGGGGACACGTCTTGGCACTGCAGGATTTGAGTCCCTGGCGGCGTAGTGTGTTACTGATGGTAGGCTTTGTTACTTTGGTCCCAGCTCTCTGCAGGTCATTCACTAGGTCCCCCCGTGTGGTTCTGGGATTTTTGCTCACCGTTCTTGTGATCATTTTGACCCCACGGGGTGAGATCTTGCGTGGAGCTCCAGATCGAGGGAGATTATCAGTGGTCTTGTATGTCTTCCATTTCCTAATAATTGCTCCCACAGTTGATTTCTTCAAACCAAGCTGCTTACCTATTGCAGATTAAGTCTTCCCAGCCTGGTGCAGGTCTACAATTTTGTTTCTGGTGTCCTTTGACAGCTCTTTGGTCTTGGCCATAGTGGAGTTTGGAGTGTGACTGTTTGAGGTTGTGGACAGGTGTCTTTTATACTGATAACAAGTTCAAACAGGTGCCATTAATACAGGTAACAAGTGGAGGACAGAGGAGCCTCTTAAAGAAGAAGTTACAGGTCTGTGAGAGACAGAAATCTTGCTTGTTTGTAGGTGACCAAATACTTATTTTCCACCATAATTTGCAAATAAATTCATTAAAAATCCTACAATGTGATTTTCTGGATTTTTTTCCCTCAATTTGTCTGTCATAGTTGACGTGTACCTATTATGAAAATTACAGGCCTCTCATCTTTTTTTAAGTGGGAGAACTTGCACAATTGGTGGCTGACTAAATACTTTTTTCCCCCACTGTACAATTGAAGTATTGGGTGATATTGATATGGATGTTTAGAGTGGTAAATATCTATGTTGCTAGGCAAATACTTAATTGGTTCCTATCATGGGGTTATGCTATTTTCATATGATCTGATTATGGTTGAATTCTTAAAGCAGGAATAGTTTAGGGATGTACTGATTTAGCAGGGAGTGAAAATAGAGTGTTATAATGTGTATGTCTTCTCAGGTATATTAGGAGAACAAAGTATGAGTTGAACATCTTTTATCTTTCATCTTTCATCTTGTATCTTTTAACAGTCTTGGATTTTTAAGCAATTGGGTCTGAGATGTCACTCATTAGAATATATAAGTGATAATCACATCACATTGTATGCTATTAAAGTAGATAAAGAGGGAATGTATGTGATTACATAGGGGATACATGTTGGACATTAAGATTAGGAAGGTTTTGGGAATTTAACTAAATATATGGGAAATATTTGAGACTTGCAGGAAAGCATTAAGAGTAATAATTCTTAATATATATCATGTCATTACAGTTTAGAGTCCATTGATAATGTTGATTGAGGAATGGGGAATGTTAAGTTGGAAATGTATAACGTGGATTTTAAAGTTTAAAGGATTGAAGATGTGGAAAAAAGACTATCTCAGTAGATCAGATAGCGCCCCAAGTGACCAGAGAAAAGCTTGGGGTTCCTCTGTATGAAAATGGATGAAGACTGAAGTTATTTTTATTTTGATATATTCATTTGAGTATATTGTCATGTCCATATAACTTATGAAGTGTCATGGATCTTTGTTTTTGTATGGATGATGTCATTATGTTAAGAATTTCTATGGATGTTTTTCTTGGTAGCAGGTCTAAGATGATGAGTCAGTTATCTAGCATAGTTTAGGGTCTAGTCATATATACTACTGATTGGAGAATATTGTATTTTATATGAATTGTTGGGGGTTTAGTAATGTTACTTACCACAAAAGAAGAAAAAAAAAGTGGATTGATATAAGGTTTTTATAGTGTTACGATGTCATGTCATAGTATTGTGTGGACCAGGGGAGAGTTAGTGGATAAGTGGCTTGGTGCCACAGAGTCTGCATTCCTTATGTCAAAGAAGATTACTGAGGTTGATCTTAGAATAATTGATGGACAGGATATAGTGACAGGGGTAAAGGGTAATAACATCAAGAGAAGGGAGTGCCCATGATGGGTACCAGATGGTCGTGAAGAAACGTGTAGCAGAGAGTATATAAGCGAGAGTATTTCATTCTAAGTCAGTTCGGAATGGTAATGTCTGTTGTCATATATAACCATGGTACCATATTAAATATATTATATGAACTCCCCATCAAAAGTGTCTAAGTATCATTACATTCTTAATCACTTGATACCCTAGAAACTCATCATAACACCCTTACAGGGCACTCCTGGAACTCAGGAAGGTAGTTCCAACCACATCGTCTTTCTGGAATGCGGGAAGATTTTCTTTGGTCTAGTCCAATCATCACAGCTTTTTACTGAAAGAGACGTATTTATTAATATGTGCTGTACGATCATTGATTATCTTCATATTTTCTTTGATTCAGAGATCCCCTTTCTCTCCTCTCTCTCTCTACACACACACCACACACACACACACACACACACACACACACACACACACACACACAACACAACATATTCTCAAAAACATTTTATTGATAGCATTTGCACTGTACAGCAGAACATGAAAGCCATCTTGCACACTTAGGAGGAACTGACAAAGTTAACACAAATTAGTAATTCCTTGAATAAAAATAATAATTGCTTCACATTAGAAGAGTGGTGGCTTTGTTCTGTGATGCGTTTGGGGTTTTAGCTAACTACTGTGTCTGTGTCTCTCCTTACCTTTGTTTTACTGACACATTCCCTCTCTCCATAATAATACTTAGTTCACATTTCTGTATTCCTCAGTGGGTTTAGACACACATATACTGTAAATGCACACTTCAACAGAAAAGCCACAATGCCAATGACCAACACCATTCACATTGCATTACGCAGATGGTAATTTCCCATCATTAGTTAGATCCAACCAACATACAAGATTATGTATCATCATAGTCATAAACCAAGTCTATTGGGTGTATTTGTAAGCACACATTATAACAGGCATCAGTCAGGGACAGACAGACAACTACAGGAATAGACAGGAGAGCGACAGCAAAGCCAACACAGAGATACGGTGGTCACCACGACAACAGTAAAACAGACACAACATATGACATTTAAAACAAACAAATAATACATTAGGACAACCTCGTATTTTCCAGCATAAACACATGAATAAATAAGTAGATATGTAGATCATATCAGTCCATAAATCATTCACTGGATGCATGAGTTGAGTACAGAGGTTAAGAGGTTATTAAAGGTCCATGTCCTGGTCAAGCAAATGGTTGGTCAGGTGCATAGAGTAGAATCATGATTCTATTTCTATGGTAGGGAGGGAGGGATCCCTCTGGCTCAAGCATGCATCTATTTTGGCAAAAATAACAAAGTCAAAAGAACCCAAAGTAGCCCAGTGTAGGTTCCGGAGGTAGGGGGCCAGAGTTTCCACATAATAAGTGGGAGCAGCGTATAGGTTTGAGTTTTCTCAGCTGTTTCACACTTCAGTCTGTGTTGTATGATCATCTGATTTACAAACCTTCATGTCACATGTCACATAAAAAGGCAGAAAGCATTATCCAGGTAATTAATCTGCATGCTCCCGGGCTCAGCAATATGACAAGTAAGTCCAGGGGTCTCTCAGGAAGCCAGGTCGTTCAAGATTGACGTCGAAATTCGACGTCTATCCATGTCCTGAGGACGTTGGGTAATGCCTTCAAAACTGGACACTAGGGGCAATAGTAAGTGCTATTACCATCAAGTAGGCTTGGGTAATCCTGTGACTCTGGATCAGAAGGTTACGTGTTTGATCCCAGTCGTGCATATTAGTTTTACATTTTTAATTTGAACCCTAACCCAAACCTTAACCCTTACCTTAACCATTCGGAATGAGCGCCTAAACTTAACCCTTAACTTTGAAATGTGATGTTTGGAGCAACTTCGAAATTTGACATTTGGAGAACGTAGATGAATGTCTAATTCTGCAGTGAGACTGCTGCTTGTCGCTCTCAGCTGGTCATTTGGGCGGTTCTGGCTTCATTTGATCCACACAAAAGCAGGTAGCCAGGCAGAGACATTATTTGGCAAACACATGAATGCTGACAAGTTAGATGAGAGGATGAGAGAGAGACATACATACACATTCATCCACTCTGACAGACACACACAGATAAACAAACATGCGTGTGCAGACGCACACACTGAAACACAGACAGAATTCTCTCTAATTTTCTCATTTTTTCTCTCTCCTTCCTTCCATCAGCTCCTTTTTTACATCACATTTTCAAAGAGCTGCATGGATCTCATCATCATTTCATCCTGAGGGGAGAAGAGGAGAAAGATGGTGACAGAATGTTGCAACTAATTTGTTTCACCACAAGATGTCACCATTTCACCACAATATGTCACCATTTCACCACAAGATGTCACCACTTCACACCAAGCCAGACAGAGGGCTCCCTAATGTAAGCCATAGGGGGCAATGATGGAACTCAAAGCCTATCATAAAATAAGGATAGCATCTTACATAGACACCAACAGCAATATCGAATGTATAAACATATGCCTGTACTATACACACCTCCTGGCATGCGACAATGAACTCCTCTAAAGTCACAACTCCATCTTTGTTTTTATCCATTTTCTGTGGGGAGGGAAGAAGTGAGAGAAATTTAAAATATTTTTTCAGTAAGTATGAAATTGTTATTATGTGGTCTAAACTGTTGTGCACTCCTTAGGGTTTCATAACCTCCTACAGTAAGCATCTGTTTTGGTATTAGATTGTACTGTATGATGTTGGGTAAAGTCACCTGGAAAAAAGCATCCACATGCTGTTTAGGGACATCTCCCTTGAGTGCAGGGTAGGTATATTTCCCCATCATGTCGTAAATGGCCCTCACAATCTCAGTCATCTCCTGTAAAACAGAAATACAAACACTGTATTAATAAGTACAGCATATGTCAATATTTCAATATAACTGACATGTAAATGAACACACAGACCTCTCTGTTAATGTAGCCATCATTGTTGATGTCGTACAGATGAAAAGTCCACTCCAGCTTCTCTCTCAGAGTGCCCCGCAGCAGCGTAGACAGTCCCATTACAAACTCCTGAGTGAGTCACCACATAGGGAGAGAGATTAAAGAGAAAATACTAAGTAATAACACTAGTACAAATAAGATAAACACATTTTAATTTAAAGCATTCACTGAGTGATAGTGGTGGTGTGTGGTTTGTACTTCAAACTTGATGGATCCATTGCTTGTCGTGTCAAACGCATTGAAGAGATAATGCGCGTAAGTGCTGGCATCTGCAACACAACCAGATACAGGCATGAGATCTTTTTTTTATCCCATAGTGCTTGAAAATGAGTCGCAAACGAGAAAGGGCATGTTATGTATCTAAATGAGAGGTGTCTGGTTTACTGTACCTCCATGGGGGAAGAACTGGGCGTAGATGTGTTTAAATGTTTCTTCATTCACCACTCCACTCGGGCACTCCTGTGGAAACCATGTGAAAACATTACTTAAAGCAACAAAATAATGCAGCTTCTTCTGGTTAGCAGCCAGATCAACCAATCATTTACACTCGAATGGCACCACCCTTGGTTACAGAGTTAACATGTCAATCAAATCTAACAGCTAATTAACTAGCAATTAACTAGCAATTTGCATAGAACTTGTATGTGGGGGGGGTGTCAATGTGTAGGTGGGTATCTTAGCATGTTCATGTGTAGAGAATATATGTTTACATATATTCATATATTTTCCTGTTGGGTGTATATGGATAATGCAGCATGTAATTGTTGTTATGGTGTATGACAGGCTTAGTTCCTCTAGCTGCAGGCCTGTACAATCTGATTAGCAGCATATGAAGTAATGAAGGCACGAGGCTGAAAACATTTACATAACTGAGTCAGAGATGAGAGAGAAGAGAGCTTTGACATTAACACTTGTAAAGAAGAGAGGCAACATAAGCAGGAATGTATACTTAAGAGTGGCAGGGAGAGAGATAGCGGAGTAAAGACAGGGAGAGAGAGAGCGGGGTAAAGACAGGGAGAGAGATAGCGGGGTAAAGACAGGGAGAGAGATAGCGGGGTAAAGACAGGGAGAGAGATAGCGGAGTAAAGACAGGGAGAGAGATAGTGGAGTAAAGACAGGGAGAGAGAGAGCAGAGTAAAGACAGAGAGAGAGATAGCAGAGTAAAGACAGGGAGAGAGATAGCGGCATGAAGACAGGGGGAGAGATAGCGGAGTGAAGACAGGGAGAGAGAGAGCGGGGTAAAGACAGGGAGAGAGAGAGCAGAGTAAAGACAGGGAGAGAGATAGAGGAGCAAAGAAGATGAAGATAGACAGACAGTGGAAGGGAGGAGGAGGGAGGTGGTTGTGCATACATTCTTGAAGCCTCGGTAGAGGATCTGTAGCTCTCTCTTGGTGAAGTTGGTCTGGGCCTCCAACTGCTCCAGACCCTCTGGCCTGTGACACACCATGGTCATCTCCAACTCATCATCAATCTTGTCTAGAGAGAGAGAGGGCGGGAGGGAATGAGTGAGTATGTGAGGGAGGGAGGGAATTAGTGGGTATGTGAGGGAGGGAGGAAGATAGAGATTAATTGTGTGTTTATGTAAATAAATAACAGGAGACTAGCGCAAAATATCACAGATACATAATCGTTTAAACATCACAGACCTCACAGTTTCTTTCACAGTACATCCTATCAAAGTTGCCATAAAGAATAAGCTTTAAAGCTACCCCATATCGCTACTAATCTTTGTATCGGTGGTGAGAGAGTCAGACAGCGAAACATATGAAAAATTGAGAGAAGCCTACAGAATAATTCTAGAGAAGATTATGAGAGCAGAGAGAGAGGTGTAATGGAGGCATGGCAAGAGGAGTTCAATATGAGAGGAGGAAAAGGGGAGGATGATGTTGGGAGAGGAAGAATACGGGAATGAAGCAGGGGAGAAGGTTTTCAGAAGAGAGGAGACTGTATGGAGGAAGAGGAGGGAGGAGGGATTAGAGGTATGACATTGGTCTCCCCATCATGGACTTGGGGAACTTTACTGATGGTAACTTTGTGTTTTGGGTACCAGTGAGAGATGGATGTTGGATTAATGATGTGATGAGCTGGCATCCTCTCAGGAGGGGGCGGGGGAGGGACAGCCTCTGGCCCACTGGAGGAGACTAGGAAACATACACAGATGTGCTCCTCTCAGAACTAACACACCCACAAGTACACATCGCTATTTCGAAACACAGACTCTTGCATGTCAGGAATGGAGTCGATCATCACCCAATCACACATGCAAGCAGACACACACACACACACACACACACACACACACACTTTGGGCTGGATGTGTCAATGTGTAGTTCATACATGCATAATCTATGAGCAGAATTACTGTTTTACCTCAATTAGCCACAAAATCCCTTGTTTTAAAGCAACTGTTTTTCTGGAAGCTATGCTGCCCCATTTCCCCTACATTTCCCCCCCCCTGTGCCAGCCCCTAGTAATTCAGGTTCTAGCCAATGAGCTTCAGCCACTTGCCAATTGAGTGACAGCTAGCAAGATGCACACACAGTAGAGCGAGAGAGAGCAAGAGTAATGACGTAGTACGCAATTTTCGGGGACCACTTTTGGCTCTTGAGCGCTACTTTCAGAACTACTGCCTAAAAAGTATACAAAAGTACCTAAGAATCTCTTGAAGAGAAGGAAACTGCACACACAAACACACACACACACATACTAGGGCTGAATGGCGGGAACCCGGTTACCGAGATTTACCGGGATTTACCGCCCAAAACCACTCCCTTTTTCCGGATAAATAACTGCTAGAAACTGGTAAATTATAATAAATTCTGTATATGAACAGCATGGCGTGAAATGGAACTGTTAAATTATATGTGATGTATAAATCTGGCTTCTCTATGGCCTCTGCATGATGAATCATCAACGCTCAGGGTGGGGATAGACAGCCCATCTCAGTATGGAGCGCAGTTCACAATGTATGTAGACCCATCATCTATCTCATCATGGTAACTTACTTTCTTGTAACAGGTAGGCCTACATTTGCTGCAGCATAGTCTACAGTGAGGGAAAAAAGTGTTTGATCCCCTGCTGATTTTGTATGTTTGCCCACTGACAAAGACATGATCAGTCTATAATTTTAATGGTAGGTTTATTTGAACAGTGAGAGACAGAATAACAACAACAAAAATCCAGAAAAACGCATGTCAAAAATGTTATACATTGATTTGCATTTTAATGAGGGAAATAAGTATTTGACCCCCCCTGCAAAACATGACTTAGGACTTGGTGGCAAAACCCTTGTTGGCAATCACAGAGGTCTGTGATCACCAAGTCAATAAGGTTTCGAGGCTGACGTTTGGCAACTCAAACCTTCAGCTCCCTCCACAGATTTTCTATGGGATTAAGGTCTGGAGACTGGCTAGGCCACTCCAGGACCTTAATGTGCTTCTTCTTGAGCCACTCCTTTGTTGCCTTGGCCGTGTGTTTTGGGTCATTGTCATGCTGGAATACCCATCCACAACCCATTTTCAATGCCCTGGCTGAGGGAAGGAGGTTCTCACCCAAGATTTGACGGTACATGGCCCCGTCCATCGTCCCTTTGATGCGGTGAAGTTATCCTGTCCCCTTAGCAGAAAAACACCCCCAAAGCATAATGTTTCCACCTCCATGTTTGACGGTGGGGATGGTGTTCTTTCGGTCATAGGCAGCATTCCTCCTCCTCCAAACACGGCGAGTTGAGTTGATGCCAAAGTGCTCCATCTTTGTCTCATCTGACCACAACACTTTCACCCAGTTCTCCTCTGAATCATTCAGATGTTCATTGGCAAACTTCAGACGGCCCTGTATATGTGCTTTCTTGAGCAGGGGGACCTTGCGGGCGCTGCAGTATTTCAGTCCTTCACGGCGTAGTGTGTTACCAATTTTTTTCTTGGTGACTATGGTCCCAGCTGCCTTGAGATCATTGACAAGATCCTCCCGTGTAGTTCTGGACTGATTCCTCATGATCATTGCAACTCCACGAGGTGAGATCTTGAATGGAGCCCCAGGCCGAGGGAGATTGACAGTTCTTTTGTGTTTCTTCCATTTGCGAATAATCGCACCAACTGTTGTCACCTTCTCACCAAGCTGCTTGGCGATGGTCTTGTAGCCCATTCCAGCCTTGTGTAGGTCAACAATCTTGTCCCTGACATCTTTGGAGAGCTCTTTGGTCTTGGCCATGGTGGAGAGTTTGGAATCTGATTGATTGATTGCTTCTGTGGACAGGTGTCTTTTATACAGGTAACAAGCTGAGATTAGGAGCACTCCCTTTAAGAGTGTGCTCCTAATCTCAGCTCGTTACTGGTATAAAAGACACCTGGGAGCCAGAAATCTTTCTGATTGAGAGGGGGTCAAATACTTATTTCCCTCATTAAAATGCAAATAAAAAAATAAAAAATGTGAAATGTGTTTTTCTGGATTTCTTTGTTATTCAGTCTCTCACTGTTCAAATAAACCTACCATTACAATTATAGACTGATAATTTCTTTGTCAGTGGGCAAACGTACAAAATCAGCAGGGGATCAAATACCTTTTTCCCTCACTCTACATTAATATAAAGACTGAATGCGCCTCTAATTTACCCATCTCCATCTGGCTTTCGGGAGTCACCTTATTTTTTAATTGTAAAGATATATATTTTTTAATTGCAGCTGCAGAGTTTTAAAACAGCCTATCACTCGAATATCGATGCTTTAAATCCATGCACGCTCGTGCACTCTCTTGCACTCTTTCTCTCTATCCATCAACACCAAAATAGATAATCCTGTTCTAGATTGATATATAGCCCTATATATAGATGTCCTAGCTTACCTCTTTCAGGTAATACATTCAATGCAGTATTAGCCTTACTGTATGTTTAGCTAATTAATGATGGGTTATGCATAATAAGCTTATGTCCTCTGTTTCTTCCGCAATATGCACACACCTGTGCTCCGCTGACCTCTCTCCTTAAAAAAACGCTCCTTAGATCTTGGAGTCCCATGCAGGAAAAGCTAGACTAGAATAGCTTGCTGGACATAAACATTTGAGCATTTCTTATACCAATAGACTATGCTGTTGAAAGCGAGGAAGGAATGAAGCAACAATAGAGAGAGAAAGAGGAGGTAGGCTAATAACATTAGGGGAAATATTATGAAATGCATATATGCATCAGCCTACTAATTATACAAATAGGTCCTATTATATTTGAAAATTCAAATTCACTAGCCTATACTTGTAACTTTGTAGGCCGCATGTGCTGCACCAGAATCACATGTTATCTACCTACTTTATCATGGTTTGAACGATGTGCATAATTCCAGTCCATCTAATGCAGTATAATACAATACAGTACAGTAATACAGTTCACACTCAAAAATATTAGCTTACTGGAGCGAGTTTCATTTATTTACCCAAGAGAGGATATAGCTAGCTGCATCTATGGGCTTTTATGTTTTTATGTTGTGCGTAATGTGCAGTAGCCTATATCATATATCAAAAGCTGCCAAACTTTTGGGCTTTTTTGGGATTGGGCTCATTAAATATCTTTAATGTCACGCTCATAAAATGTATTTAATGTATGGCTCAGTTAGCATCAGGCTTGAATTTTTGATCAAAGCTCTAATCAAATCCACACATAGGCCTATTTATATGCTTTATAATGCTTTTGAAGGACACTTCCAGTTTTGGCAGGAAATAACGAGTTACCCGGGAGAAAAGTGGTTTATTCTTGGGATGGAACAATTGTAAAATACTGGGGAAATATTTAAACCACACACACACACACACACACAGGATTTGAGAAAGGGTGCGAGGGAGGGACATACAAATGAAGAAGGGGAGACTGTTGCAGAGGAAGTGGTGGTAATTACATTTTAACCTCTACAGGATTGGTGTCCCGTATACGGGATGGTTGAGCTAACGTGCGCTAATGTGATTAGCATGACTGTTGTAAGTAACAGCAAACTTTCCAGGACATAGACATGTCTTATATGGGCAGAAAGCTTAAATTCTTGTTAATCTAAATGCACTGTCCAATTTACAGTATCTATTACAGTGAAAAAACACCCTGCAATTGTTTGAGGAGAGTGCACAACAACAACAAAAAACGTTTTAGGCAACTGGTTTGATACATTCACCTCTGAAGCTAAATAATGTACTTACATTCAGTAATCTTGCTCTGATTTGTCATCCTAAGGGTGACATCCTAAGGGTGACATCCTAAGGGTGACATTTTATCCAGAGATAAAATGTAGCATAGTTTTGTTTGATAAAATCAATTTTTATGTTCAAATGAAGGAACTGGGTTCTGCAGTTTCTGGTTCCACACCCACCCCGCCCGGCCATCTAGATGTGTGAAAGTTAGTGCACAAGCTAATGATCCATCATGTATGACATTCCTGGGAGTGTGTAAACTTACATTTTGTATTACCATATCATTTTTGTATGTTCTCTATAGTTATGTACTTGAAAATGTATCAATTGACCAATTTGGCACATTTGGGCAGACTTGATACAAAATAGTCCAGTATTGCAATGCTTCACTGGATCAATCTGAAACTTTGCACACACACTGCTGCCATCTAGTGGCCAAAATCTAAATTGCACCTAAACCGCAATCTTATATTGTGGCCTTTCTCTTGCATTTCAAAGATGATTAAAAACAACTTTTTAAAAAACATGTTTTTTTGTTTGTATTATCTTTTACCAGATCTAATGTGTTATGTTCTCCTACATTCATTTCACATTTCCACAAACTTTGAAGTGTTTCCTTTCATATGGTATCAAGAATATGCACATCCTTGCTTCAGGTCCTGAGCTACAGGCAGTTTTGGGTATGTCCTTTTAGGCGAAAATTGAAAAAAAAAGGGTCAGATCCTTAAGAGGTTAAATGTTTTACATTTTAACTCACAGAGGGAGACACTGAGCCCTCCATCATTCAGATTGAAGAGACTGATTTACTGCTGTACTGACAAATCCCACCTGTAACTTCTAATGAGCCACACTTCACAGATCTTACTGCATCACATTGAGTGTCCTTGTCTGTCTGTACCTCACGGGTATAATACATAATTCCAACAGAATCTGCCCAAAGCTTCAATCCCCTTACAGCTGAATCAGCTGGTCCTGAGTGCCGAGCTCCTGCTGGCAGCTCCATGGTAATAGGACCCTTAACACACTGTGTAATCACCACTCAACCATCCTGAACACCCTTGCTGGATAGGCTTTTCTTTATCAGTTGAATCCCTTTATGCAGTACAGCTTGCATTGAATCTTGATCTTTTTTTGGATCCTCCATGTAATCCTTACATTTGATCAACTTCACAAATTGTGTTTTGGTTATTAGAGGGTTAGGTCCTCTGCTCATTACTTGAACTGATTAAATGATGATGTCAGTGAATTCAGATCACATATCAGTACCAACACTGATCATGCAGATGAAGAGCACAGTCTACAGGTTTATGATCATCTGGATGATAGATTATGAGATGATGAAGCATACACGTTAGAGGGCTCTTCTACAGGAGACAGACTTCACACACTCACTACACAGACTCTCACAAAGACACTCATTCCTCACTAACTTTGTTACGAGATATTTCTTTATCACACTCTCACTATGTGAAGTTAATTTACTGTGATTACTGTGAATCCGGCAAATTCTTAAAAAGACTGCCCTATCCTGGTCCACCTCTCTTCCAATATTTGTTATTCTACTCCTCCACTTGTTTTCATTTCCACTTGACCTCTTGGTCGATATGCTTTCTCAATCCTTCAATCCCTCTCACCAATCTCTCCCTCAACCTCTCTCTCACTCACTGTCACAATGTGTGATGTTTTAGTCATTTCTAGTTGTCATGGAGACAGACAGACAGACATGCAACATGGTTTGAACACGGGCACTAATTGAATAAATAAATTAAAATGATGCACATACAGTGCATTAGGAAAGTATTCAGACCCCTTCCCTTTTCCACATTTTGTTATGTTACAGCCTTATTCTAAAATGGATTAAAAAATAATAATCCTTATCAATCTACACACAATACCCCATAATGACAAAGCGAAAACAGGTTCAGAAATATCTTATTTACATAAGTATTCAAACCCTTTGCTATGAGACTTGAAATTGAGCTCAGGTGCATCCTGTTTCCATTGACCATCCTTGAGATGTTTGTACAACTTGATTGGAGTCCACCTGTGGTAAATTCAATTGATTGGACATGATTTGGAAAGTATGGTATATGAAGAGGTATGACGTTGCTAATGTTTACAGTAGAGGGAGCCATTTTGTAGTGACACCCCTGTTCGTTGGAGACAGGTGATTGGACAGTAGAGGGAGCCACCCATATTTTTGCATATCTTATAAGTATAGGCTAGAGACAAAGGACGTTAGAACAGACATATTATTTTTGGACACTGTTCTCCAGACACTGCAGGCGTCTGTAAACGTATGCTGAAATCTTGTGATATAAATAAAACTTATAATCAAAGTACAGCCTAAGCGGACTCTTTGTTTCACAGCAATAATTAACAGCATTGACTCAACACTACAAAAGGCACACACCTGTCTATATAAGGTCCCACATTTGACAGTGCATTCTAGAGCAAAAACCAAGCCATGAGGTGGAAGCCATTGTCCGTAGAGCTCCGAGACAGGATTGTGTCGAGGCACAGATCTGGGGAAGGGTACCAAAACATTTCTGCAGCATTGAAGGTCCCCAAGAACACAACGGCCTCCATCATTCTTAAATGGAAGACGTTTGGAACCACCAAGACTCTCCCTAGAGGTGGCTGCCCAGCCAAAATGAGTCATCGGGGGGAGATGGGCCTTGCTTAGGAAGGTGACCAAGAACCGGATGGTCACTCTGACAGAGCTCCAGAGTTCCTCTGATGAGATGGGAGAACCTTCCAGAAGGACAACCATCTCTGCAGCACTCCACCAATCAGGCCTTTATGGTAGAGTGGCCAAACGGAAGTCACTCATCAGTAAAAGGCACATGACAGCACACTTGGAGTTTGCCAAAAGGCATCTAAAGGACTCTCAGATCATGAGAAACAAGATTCTCTGGTCTGATGAAACCAAGATTGAACTCTTTGGCCTGAATGCCAAGCGTCACGTCTGGAGGAAACCTGGCACCATCCCTACGGTGAAGCATGGTGGTGGCAGCATCATGCTGTGGGGATGTTCTTCAGCGCCAGGGACTGGGAGACTAGTCAGGATCGAAGGAAAGATGAATGTACAGATATCCTTGATGAAAACCTGGTCCTGAGAAGAAGACTCGAGGCTGTAATCGCTGCCAAAGGTGCTTCAAGAATGTACTGAGTAAAGGATCTGAATATATATGTGTAAATGTGATATTTCCAGGGTTTTTTTAAATTATACATTTGCTAACATTTCTAAAAACCAGTTTTTGCTTTGTCATTGTGGTATTTTGTGTAGATTGATGAGGGGAAAAAACCAATTTAATCAATTTTAGAATAAGATTGTATTGTAATAAATGTGGAAAAAGTCAAGTGGTCTGAATACTTTCCGAATGCACTGTATAAACCAGCAAAGTGCACGCATAACCCTCCTCCCACATAAACAAACATTGGTAAGGAGAGCTTCACTGAATGTGTATGTGGTGGCTTGTTGTTCTGTGTGTTTATGGTGATCAAACAACACTCTGCCTGACTGAATAGGTTTATATTATGGATACTGACAGGCTCCTTACCATAAAACTGTGCAACATACGCACATCTCAGAAAGCCCTTCCTGCAGATAACTACTCACACAATCACACACACACACAATCACACACACACACACACACACACACACACACACACACACACACACACACACACACACACACACACACACACACACACACACACACACACACACACACACACACACCACACACCACACACCACACACACTGTACCAGTAATCATGAAGAAGAGCACAGAGAACAACCTGAATAACATCAGTTAATTACAAGCCCCCCCCCCCCCCCCCAAATATGTTTTTTAAAATACCGAAATTGGGTTGTGCATCAGCAGTTTTTCCCTTGTTAGGTCAGTCACTGACAGTCACTCAATTAGCCCATGTAAGCAAAACATTTTTGGATTTGTAAGTTATTCTAGCCAGCTATCTAAACGTGTTGTAATCATGGTCGAATTACCGACTGATATGTTAAAAACTGCAAACATTTCTCTCCACCCTATACACAAGTTTACGCGCTGTATCCCGGGTGGCGCCATAACTCTACACAAATGCATTTCATTCCCGCCGGAAGTTGTTTGCACAACGTCTGCCGGTGTCAACACAGCGATGTCGACGCTAGCTTGGGAACACGGTTCTACTACTACTACAGCTAGAAAGGTGCCCATTCGCTCAACCACGGCGCCTGACAAGTTTTTGTCAGAACACTTACACCCATCCTTCCGTGGCAATGCCGCAACCCGTCAAGGAGCGGAGGGGGAGGAACTTGCAAGGGACTATTTGGAAACTCTGGGCAACAGCATTGAAACCAAAGGCTTAGTGGTGTGCGAAAAGGAACCGTGGCTTGCAGCATCTCCCGATGGAGTGATAAACAACGACATTCTGTTGGAGATCAAATCACCTGTGATGGGAAACAAGTCACTTACAGAATTTTTGGCAACAAAGAACTGCGAAATCACAACTGTGGCAAACGGAGATAGGGTAGATTACCATATTGCCTGCAATGGTCCAAAAGGCTACTACATGCAGGTACAAATTGGGATGCACTGCACAGGGCTTCAGCACTCCAAGTTGGTGATCTGGAACAAAACTGAGCACCTAGAAATCGAAGTACCCTACGACCAAGGCTTTGTCCAGGGGCATATCATAAGGCTGCGCACATTCTACTTTGCCCACATGCTCCCGAAAATTGTTGATGATTTTTTTGAGGGAAGGTTACAGTTCTGCAGTAAATATCTCAGCATTTTAAAACCAAAATAAACTGCCTTATTTAGGTCATGCCCACAGGAGCCAACAGATGTCCATTGTTTACATGATCTCTTTATGCTGTGCAATATATCAGTGTGCCTACTGTTTGAGTGAAAATAAAGTTTGATGTAATTTCAATCCTTAGAGTGCTACAATTTATTTTAACACAGTTCATAATTCATAGTAAGCTCATACTGTACATAAATAACACTGGATTAATTAATTGTTTTGAGGAAACTAAACAAATGGCTTCAACAAGAAAGATTGCGTGTTTAATCTTAACAGGTATTAAAAAGTAAAATACAAAAGCAGCCCACACAATTACATCACTATGAAAATATTCATATATAATATAAAAAAATACAATGCACGCAGTATTTGTTGTGTTTATCTGTATTTAATGAACAACATGGCTGGGTGTTGGTAGACAGGGACACAGGGCAAGATTCTAAACCTCACTGATCAGTGGACTCTTCAGGTTAACTAGGCCAGCACAGATGGTTAAGATGTTGTCCAGTTTCGGTGCCATGCTGATGGGAACATTCTGGGATAAAATCTTAAACACCTTCAGTCTCTGGATTCCTCTTTCCACATGTATGCGGACATTGGCTACTCGCCTGGTGCGTGTCGTCTCCTCATTGGTCAACTGATTGCGCCTGTAGGTGAAAGCAGGGATGTTCAAACTGACCCTTCTCTCATCAAGCAAGTCTCGATTGGTGAACCCACGGTCCGCCATGACCTCATCACCAGCCCTCAGATAGTCTAGGAACCCACTGTCCATGGTGATACATTTATCGCTGCTTCTGCCAGCATAGGCATCAGATATAAACATGATTAGCCCATTAGGGGCCACAGCGACGAGATATTTCACAGTGTTGCGTGATTTATACTGGCTGAAAGTGTCACTCCTTGAGTCGTGGTTTGTGGCTCTCTGCATGGCACTTTCGGCACAGTCAATGATGCAGGTGGTTCGAGGGTAGTTCCTCTGAAACGACAAGGGCATGGTGGCACGAATGGTCTCTCTTGGAAGCCAGGGGATCAGGACTTTGAACTGTTAACCCATCACGTCAATCCAGTGACTAATCACAATGCTTGCCATGGATGTAGACACATTGAAGCGTTGAGCAATATCTCCTAATATTAGGTTTAGTTTTAGTTTCATCAACGTATTTGGTCAACAACAGGAAGGGTAATTGATGGCTTACTGAAAGGCAACAACACCGTCACCAGGGTGAAGAATTGAACCATAAGCACTCCTGTATACAGCCGGGACCTAGCATCATCAATGACCGTGGTGCTGGTCACAGTAGGACTCATTTCTGCCTCGCACTGTGTGGCCTTGTCTACTTTAACAGACTGTGTTGTTGAACAGTAAATGTGATCAATATGTGACGGATCCTCCCATTGGGTCTGGGCATCTCGAAATTTTGGTGTAGCAGGCTCGGCCTCACAGACAGGCTGACAGGTTTCTGGAGCATCTAAAAAGGGGAAGAGAAAACATGGATGGAGCAAAATTAATGCAGGTATAGAGTCCTCTCACTACAAACATCACAATGGAAAAATGTGTACTACAACATTGCACTCACACGCACACACAAAATCATCATCACAACAGCCTGCCACCTTGCATTGTATTTATGATGTAGACTAAGGCACACGCAGGCAGGCACACACACACACACACACACACACACACACACACACACACACACACACACACACACACACACACACACACACACACAATTAATGATGTAGCTATCGTGGGCATTGTTTGTCCCATCTCCAAAACAATCAACTGCCTTAGCAAAATACCGGTAGCAATGTTAATGTATGACAACTTCTTCATAATTAACAGTATTGTCAGCTTCATAGCTAAAGTTGCTGAACTTACCCTCAGATTCAAGTCTGCGTTTCTTTATCTGGGGGGAGGCAGTGGTCCGCTGGGTGAGTTGACGCCTCTTTGGCTGGGGAGGGCGATTGTATCCCAACCACAACTCTGGGAAAGGATTATCCTTGGTAGGTTTTTGGTCAACAAAGTGATAGGAACAAACAAAAACGTTGAGGGGTGGTTTCTTTAGATTCAATGCCTTCAGCCAGGTCCTTGATTCCGAGTCGGTATCAGGCTTGCGAAAAAATGTAAACAATGGAGCGCATGGACATTGCCTCTTCGTAGCTGGTTTGTGGTCGTAGCACTCTCTATCTAACCACTCGTTCAGGTGCTTTCTCGAGTTTTTGCAACCAACTACCGCACACGTCGTTCCCGAACCACTTTTCTTCATGTTGTAATTGTAATTTTTATATCCTCTTTGTCACTGCGATATCAGTGCTTTGTCAACACAACGGAGCTAGCTAGCAAAACAAACCCAGCCCAGCAGAACGGAAGTGGATTGCATCGACGGGAGGAGTTCAGGAAGTAGAGCGGAAACGGCTCAAAAACTTGTGTATTGCAAAATGTGTAGAATTGCAGGAAATGAGTTGTAAAACTACTAATGTTTCTCTCCGCCACATTGGCTAAATTTGTAGAATTGGATGAAAAAAGTTATAAAATTGCTAAATCTCTTTCCACCCTATGATAAAAGGTGTAGAATTGCAGCAAACTTGCTTTAAAACTTCAACGTTTTCCCTATCCCCCATGGCAAAATTGCAGGAAATTTACTCTAAAAGTTACTTTTTTTCTCTCCACTGTCAATAGGGGGGCCACTAAACAAAATTTGATTTAGGGCCCCCAAAAGGCTAGGGCTGGCTCTGACTGCATGTGTGGCTATAGATGTCAGTACACGGACCCTGAGCCACTGCAGCCCCTCATGTTGAGTTCAGATTTTTTGTGGCCCACACCCCCATCAAAATTGCCCATCCCTGCTAAAGAGTCATCAACACAGAGCTAGGGAAAGAGGAGGAGATAGATAAGGTGGGAATTATATAGAGGATGAAAAGCGGGTAGGAGATAGTGGTTGGTAGGATAGAGTGGGTGGTAGGATAGAGTGGGTGGTAGGATAGAGTGAAAGCGTGTAAAGGAAGCTGAAGTGATGAAGAGAAAAGGAGGGAGGCGAGGAAGGGAGAAAGAGTGAGAGAAGGTGAAAGAAAGTGAAAGAGAAGAGGACACAAACAAACACATGGAGGCAGAGAAGAATAAAGGGATCCAGATGTCTGGAGGGGACAGGGAGAGGGAGAAGGAGAAGCGGGTGGAAGATTTAGACACACAACTCATTTAAATTGGAGTAAAGAAAAAGAGAACCCCATGAAACCGAGCCCAGCACGATGGTGAGGGACATACCCTCATTCTTCTCAGCCTGGATACAAAGAAATAGCAGGCCTCTCAATACTAACATGGCCTCTATACTTCTGTAATACACAGCCAGAGTACTGCCACAACTACAGTCTGATTACTCAATACCACATATCACTGCAAAACAAACCCAATTAACTGAAAGACAAAAATTCCCATGACTCAGTCCCATGATGATCAGGACCAAATACAACCTCTGTGGAAATAGGTTTTTAATCAGTCGGTCACAATTAGGAGACATCTCCCATGAGTCACAGCCAGGTACAGACTGGACTGGAAATAGGCTAGTGGGCAAATCAGAGAGAGTGTCTGAGAGAGTGTCTGAGATTAGTACTTAATTAGTTAATGGTCTCTCAACCAATGGATATTCATCAGCACCTGTTCTGACAGGACTGTTTATAGAGTGGTGAAGTAGGAGGTATTGAGTAGTTTTAGATCCCCAAGGTGGAATGAGGTGACTCTTTATCTGACATGCTGTAAGAACCTCTGCGTCACACACTCTATCTATCCATCGCTTCATCTCTCCTCTGCAGAAGAAAAACAAGCTGTCTGAAGGAGATTTTTCTCTCACAAACCGCTGAAGGGGATTGAATGTGTTAGTGATGGTCAAATTATTTTCCAAGTGTTACCAAGTGGTTTTTGAGATGAATCCAACAGCCATCAGATGCTGCATATATCACTGCATTTAATCTGTGGGAAGCAAGGTCACATGATTAAAACTAACGCCAGCCTTAATTAACGGCAGGATTTTAATAAAGGAGATCAATCCTCCTAATTGATTGTCCATGCGAAGATTTATGCATACAGAATTGCCTCCCCCCCACCCCGAAGCCATATTTCCATAGAATTACATTTTTTAAGATTGTCAACAGTTTGGAAATGGGTTTTTAATTTAAAAAGACGATGCAGTATATCTACATTCTGTTAACACCTACCATTAATATAAAAAACATTTGTCCCATTTTAAAACAAGAAAACAAACAATTTAGAGAATTTTATCACTGAGAATAAGTCTGGGCAAACGTTCCATATCCCTCCAGTATATATCCTCCGACTACATGTGTAGAAAGCCATGCCTAACATGATTTTGGTGTTGCACCTTATGTAATACCACACAGTGTGACTCATTGTCCCTGGAGTCCCTGGAGTGTCTACACCATATCATAGCACCATAACTTCATTATCCATCCAGTAGGCACCACAGAGTATTGTTCACATTCCCCTCTTATGCCCCCACAACCCTGCAGTCTCCATGACAACAGCCTTTCAAGCATATGGACAGGAAGAGGTATGAGATGTGAGCTCAGTGCCAATGTACAGTTGAAGTCGGAAGTTTACATACACTTAGATTGGAGACATTAAAACTCATTTTTCAACCACTCCACAAATTTCTTGTTAACAAACTATAGTTTTGGCAAGTCGGTTAGGACATCTACTTTGTGCATGACACAAGTAATTTTCCCAACAATTGTTTACAGACAGATTATTTCACTTATAATTCACTGTATCACAATTCCAGTGGGTCAGAAGTTTACATACACTAAGTTGACTGTGCCTTTAAACAGCTTGGAAAATTCCAGAAAAAAATGTCATGGCTTTAGAAGCTTCTGATAGGCTAATTGACATCATTTGAGTCAATTGGAGGTGTACCTGTGGATGTATTTCAAGGCCTAACTTCAAACTCAGTGCCTCTTTGCTTGACATCATGGGAAAATCAAAATAAATCAGCCATGACCTCAGAAAATAAATTGCAGACCTCCACAAGTCTGGTTCATCCTTGGGAGCAATTTCCAAATGCCTGAAGGTACCACGTTCATCTGTACAAACAATAGTACGCAAGTATAAACACCATGGGACCACACAGCCATCATACCGCTCAGGAAGGAGACGCGTTCTGTCTCCTAAAGATGAATGTACTTTGGTGTGAAAAGTGCAAATCAATCCCGAACAACAGCAAAGGACCTTGTGAAGATGCTGGAGGAAACAGGTACAAAAGTATCTATATCCACAGTAAAACGAGACCTATATCAACATAACCTGAAAGGCCGCTCAGCAAGGAAGAAGCCACTGCTCCAAAACGGCCATAAAAAAGCCAGACTACGGTTTGCAACTGCACATGGGGACAAAGATCATACTTTTTGGAGAAATGTCCTCTGGTCTGATGAAACAAAAATAGAACTGTTTGGCCATAATGATCATTGTTATGTTTGGAGGAAAAAGGGGGATGCTTGCAAGCCAAAGAACACCATCGCAACCGTGAAGCACCGGGGTGGCAGCATCATGCTGTGGGGGTGCTTTGCTGCAGGAGGGACTGGTGCACTTCACAAAATAGATGGCATCATGAGGAAGGAAAATTATGTGGATATATTGAAGCAACATCTCAAGACATCCGTCAGGAAGTTAAAGCTTGGTCGCAAATGGGTCTTCTAAATGGACAATGACCCCAAGCATACTTCCAAAGTTGTGGCAAAATGGCTCAAGGACAACAAATTTAAGGTATTGGAGTGGACATCACAAAGCCCTGACCTCAATCCTATAGAAAAGTTGTGGCCAGAACTGAAAAAGCGTGTGCGAGCAAGGAGGCCTACAAACCTGACTCAATTACACCAGCTCTGTCAGGAGGAATAGGCCAAAATTCACCCAACTTATTGTGGGAAGCTTGTGGAAGGCTACCCAAAATGTTTGACAAAAGTTAAACAATTTAAAGGCAATGCTACCAAACACTAATTGAGTGTATGTAAACTTCTGACCAACTGGGAATGTGGTCAGCTTAAATAAATAATTCTCTCTACTAATATTCTGACATTTCACATTCTTAAAATAAAGTGGTGATCCTAACTGAATTTCCAGGGAATTTCCAGGGAATTTTACTAGGATTAAATGTCAGGAATTGTGAAAAACAAAGTTTAAATATATTTGGCTAAGGCGTATGTAAACCTCCGACTTCAACTGTACATGCTCACATGCAAACACATACAGTACGCACATTCTAACTTTGTTTCTCTTGAGAACACGTGCATGGGTATGACACTACAAGCTTAGCACACCTGTATTTGGGGAGTTTCTCCCATTATATTCTGCAGATCCTCTCAAGCTCTGTCAGGTTGGATTGGGAGCGTCACTGCACAGCTATCTTCAGGTCTCTCTAGAGATATTCCATCGTGTTCAAGTCCGGACTCTGGCCGGGCCACTCAAGGACATTCAGAGACTTGTCCCGAAGCCACTCCTGAGTTGTTTTGCTGTGTGCTTAGGGTTGTTGTCCTGTTGGAAGGTAAACCTTCGCCCCAGTCTGAGGTCCTGAGTGCTCTGCAGCAGGTTTTCATCAAGGATGTCTCTGTACTTTGCTCTATTCACCTATCCCTCAATCCTGACTAGTCTCCCAGTCCCTGCCGCTGAAAGACATCCCCACAGCATGATGCTGCCACCACCATGCTTCACCGTAGGGATGGTGCAAGGTTTCCTCCAGACGTGACGCTTGGCATTTAGGCCAAAGAGTTCAATCTTGGTTTCATCAGACTAGAGAATCATGTTTCTCATGTTCTTAGTCCTTTAGGTGCCTTTTGGCCAACTCCAAGTGGGCTGACATGTGCCTTTTACTGATGAGTGGCTTCCGTCTGGCCACTCTACCATAATGGCCTGATTGGTGGAGTGCTGCAGGGATGGTTGTCATTCTGAAGGTTCTCCCATCTCCACAGTGGAACTCTGGAGCTCTGTAAGAATGACAATTGGGTTCTTGGTCACCTCCCTGACCAAGGCCCTTCTCCCCCGATTGCTCAGTTTGGCCGGGCAGCAAGCTCTAGGAAGAGTCTTGGCGGTTCCAAACTTCTTCCATTTAAGAATGATGGAGCCCACTGTGTTCTTGAGGACTTTCAATAGCTCCTGTCTCGGAGCTCTACGGACAAATCCTTCGACCTCATGGCTTGGTTTTTGCTCTAGAATGCACTGTCAAATGTGGGACCTTATATAGACAGGTGTGTGCCTTTCCAAATCATGTCTCAATTGAATTGAATTTACCACAGGTGGACTCCAATCAAGTTGTAGAAACATCTCAAGGATGATCAATGGAAACAGGATGCACCTGAGCTCAATTTCGAGTCTCATAGCAAAGGGTCTGAATACTTATGTAAATAAGGTATTTCTGTTTCTTATTTTTAATACATTTGTAAAATTGTCTAAACCCCCCCCCCGCTTTGTCATTATGAGGTATTGTGTGTAGATTGATGAGGAAAAACATTTATTTAATGAATTTTAGAATAAGGCTGTAATGTAACAAAATCCGGAAAAAGCCAAGGGGTCTGAATACTTTCCAAATGCACTGTAGTTGACATACCTCTGGATGGTCATTTCCTTTGCTTTGTCTGCATGGTCAAAGTGCCGACCACTTGTTGTCGACATGGAAACCCGCCTGTTCAAACAACCGACTGAGTAGTCCTCCTCTCTCTATGGCTTTCTCCCTCTCTATATATCTGAATAAGCCTCTACCCCCCTCCTGTCTCTTCTCTGTCTGGTCCACGTTGGGTCTCTCTTTGGTGGTACCCCACGATCCTGTCTCTTCTCTGTCTGGTCCACGTTGGGTCTCTCTATGGTGCGCCCCCCCCTCCTGTCTCTTCTCTGTCTGGTCCACGTTGGGTCTTTCTATGGTGGTTCCCCCACCCCACACTCCTGTCTCTTCTCTGTCTGGTCCATGTTGGGTCTCTCTATGGTGGGCCCCCCTTTCCTGTCTCTTCTCTGTCTGGTCCACGTTGGGTCTCTCTGTGGTGGTACCCCCCGATCCTGTCTCTTCTCTGTCTGGTCCACGTTGGGTCTCTCTATGGTGCCCCCCACCCCACACTCCTGTCTCTTCTCTGTCTGGTCTACGTTGGGTCTCTCTATGGTGGTCCCCCCCCCCCCCCCTCCTGTCTCTTCTCTGTCTGGTCCACGTTGGGTCTCTCTGTGGTGGTACCCCCCGATCCTGTCTCTTCTCTGTCTGGTCCACGTTGGGTCTCTCTATGGTGCCCCCCACCCCACACTCCTGTCTCTTCTCTGTCTGGTCCACGTTGGGTCTCTCTATGGTGGTTCCCCCACCCCACACTCCTGTCTCTTCTCTGTCTGGTCCACGTTGGGTTTCTCTATGGTGGGCCCCCCTTTCTCCTCTTCACCACACTGTCTGCGTGGGTGGACCATTTCAGTTTGTCAGTGATGTGTAAGCCAAGGAATTTGAAGCTTTCCACCTTCTCCACTGCTGTCCCGTCAATGTGGATAGGGGGGTGATCGTGGTTTCCATGGTGAAGAGGCGCTTCGTTGTGCCCTGAATGCTATTGAAAATGGGCAGGGCATTAAGGCAGCTGCCCATGCTTTTAATGTGCAATCCAAAACCCTGAGGTGCCACCGAGACAAGCAGGTCAAAACCCCAGGCCACAGCCATTTGGGTGGGTTACCAATCTTCACTGGCTCTTTCGAATGTGACCTGGTGAGTCATATCCCAAAAAGATAAAGAGCCCACGCCTGTCCGAAAACTTGCCTTTAATCTGGCGGAAAGGATGGGAATCCAAAACACATTCAGTAAAGATAGGTGGTTTTACGGTTTTATGAAGCTGCACCCAGAATTATCCATCCGTATCACACAAGCAGCCAGTCTGGCTCGAGCTGTTGGCTTCACCCCCATCATGACCTCTACCCCTACCACAACCTCTGCCATAACATCAACCTCCACCATAACCTCCACCCCACAGCCTACCCAGCACCCACAGGTCTCCAGTGACCTTGCTCCGAATGTTGGTAAGAAAAAGAAACGTCAGCACTCATTTTCGGAAATACATAGTAGCATATAGAGTGACTAGAAATAAGTGTTTATTGAACCAATACTCATGAGTTCTTGTTGTTGTTTATTTGTTTGTTTCTTTTTGTTTAAAGTACCAGTTGTACAACAACAAACAGCGGCAGAGGTCATATTGGAATTGTCCCCCAGGCCAAGGATACAGGAAACGAGGCCTAAAAGGCAAATAAACTACCCCATGTTACCCTACTCAGTGATGTGTTGTGTTGGATTTGCTCCAAACATAATGCTTTGTATTCAGGACATAAAGTTAATTTCTTATTTTTTGCAGTATTACTTTAGTGCCTTATTACAAACAGGATGCATGTTATGGAATCTTTTTTATTCTGTACCTTATTTTCACTCTGTCAATTAGGTTAATATTGTGGAAAAACTACAATGTTGTTGATGCATCCTCAGTTTTCTCCCATCACAGCCATTAAACTCTGTAACTGTTTTAAAGTCACCATTGGCCTCAAGGTGAAATCCCTGAGCGGTTTCCTTCCTCTCCAGCAACTGAGTGAGGAAGGATGCCTGTATCTTTGTAGTGACTGGGTGCATTGATACACCATCCAAAGTGTAATTAATAACTTCACCATGCTCAAAGGGTTATTCAATGTCTGCTTTTTTTATTTTCACCCATCGACAAATAGGTGCACTTCTTTGCGAACCATAGGAACCCCCCCCTCTATCTCTCTCTCTCTTTCTCTCTCTCTCTCTCTCTCTCTCTCTCTCTATCTCTCTCGCACGCACACACACACACACACAAACACACACACACACGCACACACACACACACACACACACACCACACACACACACACACACACACACACACACACAGACACACAGACACACACACACACATGGATTCTCCATTTCATGAGAAAAAAGATAATGATTGAAAGAACTACGACTGATTTCATGTAAAAACGTACACAGAGTTGTTGTGTAAGCATGTATGCACATACGCACGCACACACACTCACATATGCACGTACGCACACACTCACGCTGTGTTTGTGTGTCTCAGAGGGCAGCCCAGTTCCTTTAGCTGGAGCCTCCTTCTCTTTCTCTAATGGTCTGTATAAATAGCTGCTTGTTTCTGTTCCCTGCTTTGTCTGACGTTTGCTCTCATTAAATGAGAGTTTG